AAACGAGAACACCTTCATTTTACGAGAACGCGAGAACATCCTTATCACATGTGATAATACGCGTGAGGGGACTCTGTGATGTGTGGACGACATGTTCTACGACTTAGGTCGCACCAAAGGTTGTATGCGTCTATCATTTAGCATCACATGTGATGGTCTTGATGGATTATAGTATTATATCAACAACAATCTTATCACATGTGATAATACTTGTGAGGGGGCTTACTAGTGTAAGGACGACTTGGCCGGCAACTAAGATCGCATCGAAAATCGTCTGCGTCTTTGATTTAGTATCACATGTGTATCATATGTGATGGAATAATAGTATCACATGTGATTCTCTATAGTAAAAGAATGTTCTCGCGTTCTCGTAAAATGGAGGTGTTCTCATTTGAACCTCCACCTATATTCAAACGAGAACACCTCCATTTTACGAGAACGCCAGAACACCCTTGTCACATGTACATGATAATATGCGTGAGAGGACCCTGTGATTTGCGGATGACGTGTTCTATGACTTAGATCGCGTCAAAGTTTGTCTGCGTCTATGATTTAGCATGACATGTGATGGTCTTGATGGATTATAGCATCATATCAACAATACATTTATCACATGTGATAATACTTGTGAGGGGGCTTAGTGGTGTAAGGGAGACTTGAGACCCGCAACTAAGATCGCATCGAAAATCGCCCTCATCTCTGATTTAGTATATATATATATATATATATATATACACACACATGTGTGTGTGTGTGTTTTTGTGTGAGAGATCTTCAATGGTGGTTCTAGGGGTTGCTTATAAGTAATATAATATTATGAGGTTTATGATGATGCTAGCTAGGGGAATTTGAAGCAAAAGGTGACATGTTATAGAAAGCAACCCCAAGCCACATTCCACAAACACATAAACAGACAGAGACCTGCAGCTGCTTTCAATAACTTGAAGTGGCACAACCAGAAGTGGCTTCATCCTWTCCATTCACCTTGGAAATAATAAGCTTCTTAAAATTCCCACATGTTATCACCTCTTTTACTTTTCCCTCTTCTTCTTTCCCACTTCCAGCATGTTAATGGCCCCCAATGTGCCACCACATTCCTAAAAAAAACTTGCGTCACTTTTTCTCCAAAAGGTCAAGACTCAAGAGACAGTAGCCATTGGTAGCTAGTTTCATAAATCTATGCATAAGCATTCAGCAAAAGGGTCTCTTTTTCTCTCACCAGACATATAATTATGCTTTTCTTTTTTGCACCATATTTCGAGTTCTAATTAAGGTGTCTTTCTCAAAGCTCCAGACTGGATTAATAATACTGTCAACTTATATATATATATATAGGCATATATCTAGATCTGTCTAGGTTTAAGAGATGTATCCCTCCACCAACAGCGATGGTAACATCTCTTTCACTAGTATTAATGTCCAACCAATGAAGATATCTTCTTTGTACAATTACGACAATGATGCCAGTCTTTCAAAACCCCCCCGAGAACATTACTACCCTCCATCATCTTCCTCCTTCCAACTTCTTTCTCCTCATTACATTACCTTGGAAGAYGAAACGATCTTCAGTGATCTTTTACAAMAAGGAAACCCCTTCTCCCATGATCATAACCATCACGATACCAACATTGTTGTTCATGAACAGTACTCTACTCATGGCATTAGGGCCAGTCTGCAGTCTGCTATCGGAAGATGCAGCAACAACAATGGGAAATTTGTTGCTAAAGATGGAGATGGTGATATTAATGATGGCTTCAATATTCAGGTGGAGCCGAAAAGTAGCAGTACAAGGAGGAGAGCTTCCAAGAAAGACAGGCACAGCAAGATTAACACAGCTCGAGGACTGAGGGACCGAAGGATGAGATTGTCTATTGATGTTGCTAAGAAGTTCTTTAAGTTGCAAGATATGCTTGGGTTTGATAAAGCCAGCAAGACTGTTGAGTGGTTGCTCATGAAATCAAAATCAGTCATTCAAGAACTCCTCCCTCAAAAGTTGAACCTGAGATCCAGCTTTATGGCTGTTTCTAACAGCGCATCTTCTACTCCAAACTGTGAAGTTTTGTCWGGAAATACTGACAATCAATGTATGGTTACTGGAGATGATCAAGCAACTCCAAAGTTCCARGAGAAGTCCTCTTATAGCAGCAACTGCAAAGAGAAGAAAAAGAGTACTGGTAGAGGAGTTAGGAAAAGTGCACATCTTCTTCATAGCCCTCTTGCTAAAGAAACAAGAGAAAGGGCAAGAGCAAGGGCAAGGAAAAGGACAGTGGAAAAGAGTAACAAGATTGGTTCTGGTGGTGATGATCAATCTTCAAAATCTAGACCATGTCTGGATCAAGTAATTGATCAATACTTACACCTTATAGGCCCTTCGCCCATCGACCAACCTGAACAGCAAATCTCCCACTTACAATTTAAGCAAGGCATTAGTGTTGATAATTCTTCATTGATGACAGCCAATTGGAGCCCATCCTTCTTGTTCAATAATCAGCATGCTGGAGCACCTCCTCATGAGGTAATTAATACTTGTATCTTCAGCACACATATTTCTAAACTGGCTAGGAAGTTAATTACCTAGCTAGGGCTAGATCATTGATCAATTGGTATTTCAGAAGAAGCAACATCCTGTGTAGATTAATATCGATCTAAGCAAATTTATRTAATTTGTTTTGCAGCATCAGTTCAATGACTTTCAGATATTTGGCAATTTATGGGAAGGCAACAATTAGGTCAGTAATTGATCAATCATACCTGTTCATATTATTACTCCTTCTCTATCATAAGGTTAGATCATGTGCATTGCCCTTTCTTGTTCTTCTTTAAGGTTTTCCCGTTGTAATATATATATGTGTGTGTGTGTGTGTATGTCAATTTATGTCTATCTACAACATGAACTGATTAAGTATTTGTGGTGATTCCTTCTCTTCTGTTTTGGAATGTCCTTGTGTCCTAGCTACCAAGCTAAGGTATTTCTTTGAAATTTGAATGATGAGGAAGATGTACGTACTAGTACTCCTCGACCACCCAAAACGAGAAAAACGTGTACTAGTTTTGGTCGTTGGTGGTTGTCATGCTTTGCTCTTTATCTATAAGTAATTACTAGTCCTTATCACTTCACATCTTTTCACCTTCATAAGATTAATTGAGCTTTAATCGATCGCTACACTTCTCTTTTTTTCCTTTTCTTCTTAATTTCACAAGCTTCTACATATATGGCTCCATAAATTCTCTAAACACTTCATAGTAATGCTAGTATATGAAGATACATATATATATATTCTCTCCCATTTATCATCTCAACAAGTTCACTGAGAACTCATAATTGTTGATGTAATTGTTTAATTATATGTATATAAAGAGCTTCATAGAGTGTCTTAATTAACAGCCAATTAATTGCTTTAACTCATATGTATTTTTCACCTTCGCGCACCCCTTTATGTCGATCTTTTCTAGTATGGAAGTTTTTGAGCCCATCTATCGATCCAAGTGGAATAATTTTTGCTTTTGAAGCTTTAAGCAAACTTGTCCATTTTGAATACATTTAACTTTCTTTTGATTTGTTCATTTGTTAGAAAGAATTATTATCCTACTTGTAAAAACAGTCTGATTAATACTGCTGGCCATCCATTAGATATTGTCAACAGAATGGAAATATGTTCTCGAAATGTACACGCTAATTGTTTAAGCACGGTTAATTAACGATTTTATCTCTCTTTGGAACATACCCATTATTTACTTTAGAGTTTAATCTATTTCATTTGTGGATAGGCCAACTCCAGATGTAAACATGAGCAGCATATGAATTTATCATGGATATCTGCCAACTTACCTTTCAAGTGTCCTGTACATATCAACTCAAAAGTCATAATTTCATGATAGATAGCATTGCTTTGGTTTCTAGTAATCTTCGCTGTCCCAATTTGATTAGTTTGGACCTTGAGTAGCGTGGGCGTTTTCACACGTGTTCGAAAACACCATGAAATATTATGCTTCTATGATAATTGCTGGTTCTAGTACTCCTGAAAAAGGATGTAGTACATGTTGATACCATCTTGGTGTATTGTGCTATGCCATCAGAAATTGTGAATTTGGAAGGAAATGGAAGTGGAATCTGGACTTTAGGGAATGCATACCAGACAAAAAAAAACAGCTAAACTTGAAAGGAATTTTTCTAGCAGAGAAGTATGTGAGAAGCTACATGTGTATATCAACTCTTCAAGTCCAATTCTACCTCTAGAAACAGACAAACTAAGAGAAGAATGATAAGGTTCACTGATTAGACAGGCTTGCTATATATGCACAATATTGAGTGGCTTTAATTAAAGATGGAATTCATGTTCAGGTTCAGTGAATTGAATTGTGCTGATAACAATTAGGGGAATACTAGGAACAAAGCTCAAATAGATTTGGAACAAGATGGATGCCCTCTTGTATGTGTTTACCTATGCCAGTTTTTGTTTTTTTTTTTAATTAACCTGGATATCCAACCCGCTATGCGAGCCGACTAATCCCAGGGAGACCACCTGCTTTGCAGATAGCCCGGAGTCACCGTATTTGAACCTCCGTGGCCACAAGATGATTTTTATTCCTCAGTTTTAATGCAAAGCAAAGGTAGACTAAATGAGAGTTTGGACAACTTTCCAAAGAGATATAACTAACTTAATAAGTGACATCTTCATTCTTTGAGTTCCAGAACAGCAAGAATGAAAGCTAATTTGCTGCTATCTACTGGGAAAAAACTGCATAAAGATCCAAACAGTTTTATTCATTTAGGAATCCGTCTCGTAGTAACTGAAATAACTTGTTTTATGGATTGCAAACGGTGCGTCGATCATGTTTTACTCGACCCTTTCAAAGATGAARCACCAGAACTCCAAAATACCGAAAACATTCAAGATTTCCGTGATGTAAAAGAAAGAAATAATATACATGAACACTTAAATTGATGTTTGCTTTTGTTCAATATTTGATGATTAAAATTTTGTAAAAAAAAGAAGACAAACATGAAATATCCCAAAAGAAGTTGGTGCATATGGTCACCAATTAAGATGTCAGTACTCAACCAAAGGGACAATATGGATCGACTTCAATTGGGATCTTAAACTTGTGGACACAGATAAACATCATTAATCAGTACTGGGGTTGTGTTAATTTAATTAATATTGGTGTTAAGGATTTTTCGTGAGACCTTTAAGATTAATTTATGTTCATTGATCAACTTTATAAGTTAATGATCTAATGGTCTAGAGTTGCATGGTGGCAATTTTGTGATTATTGAGAAGTCTTGTGACAATTTTTGTGATTATGAATGTTCAGATTGTAGATCTAATCCAGGGGTTGAGAATTAGCTTTACGGATGTCACGAAAAACCCTTGGTATCACATGATCGTAAGTCTTAGTGTTAAATATGATAAAGTAGTAGGAGAGATTTAGGGTTTTGACAAGAGCACAACAAAAGGTTAGGTTGTGTAAGGTACACTCATTATCACATTGTTGTCTTGTGGATGGAATACAGAGTTGCTGATCAAGGCATTAA